TATATATATATTAATATAAGTTGTTTTGGGCTGCTTTTCAAGTGCAAAAACCTAATTGGTTCAATCTTTGCAAGACTTCAAACTGTAAAAACAGTGACAATCTATTGTGAAAGATCTTCTGTTTGTATGAAAGGATCTGCTTTAGTTTTAGCCAGGTTGATCTAATCTGATGATTTAACTTTCAGTAAGTTAGACACTCCTGTAGTGATGTGTTTAAGAGCAGACTGCAGGAGTCACAACAGCAGCGCAGCCCTGCCTGTTGAAGGGGAAGCCTCCCGGCAGGCGGGGGGTTACTTGGTTCAGTGTGTGGAAGTGACCTGTCTGAGGCGACGCTTCAGATCTCTATCATCAGATCTCAGCAGGTCCAGGAATGTTCAGCTGGAGCTCCTTTCCTCTGTTTATTTTTCTCCCATTGTGGGTTTTTCCACAGCTCTCCATCACATTTCTGCTTTCACTTACTCCATCTTTTCTTGTTACTCTTCTGTTGTCCCGGGACATCCTTTTTTTCTTTTTTTCCTTTCTAACCCCTTCCTCCCACTATCGTTCTTCTTCTGCACTCTCAGCCAACACACAGTTCATATTAGGATCTGTATTGAGTTTCCTTGAAGGTGCAGTTTGTTTACCCTTTTTTACTACAGTTTTAATAGTTGAGGTAAAGATTGTGTGATTATCAGTGTGTACAACTTGCCAAAACAAGATGTTTAAAGTACTTTACTGTATCTAATACACATGTCTCCAACTCAAGGCCCGTGGGCAAAGTGTGACCCACGGGTGACTTCCATCTGGCCCGCCAATGAGGGTTGTTTTTGCTTAATGTAATATAAAATACATTTTAATTCAACTGTAAAGTATGTTTATGACTCAATTTGACAAAATAAACAAATTTGAAAGGTAAAAGATAATACTTGTCTTGCCCCTCTTGGCTTTGAGTAACTTTGCCCCCCTGAGCAATTTATTTGAATAATCCTGTGTCTCAAAATAAGCTGCTTTAAATGCAGTATTGACCTACATCTCACATAATGCACGTTGATTATTTTACCTACAAAATGATGGCATCTTACCACTAGGTGGAGGTTCATAAAAATAGACGGCTACTGTTGCTACAGCCCAAATGCACCGGGAAATGGGAATTTCCCAGTTACAAGTTGTAAATTTAAACTGGAACACCCCTCCAGTGAGTAAAACTCTTTTAATTTTGCTTTTAATAATATTTCCGTTTCATTTATTTCACATTCAGTCAGCCGTACACGCAGTACTTTTCAGTGTTTATAAGAGGGCGTGTTAAAGCACTGTTTCTATGCAGGACATACCAAGTAGAGCTCAGTTAGTGTTTGTTAGCGGTGCTCAGCCTTAGTAATCAGATGAGGGACATGACGTTTTATGTTTAGTCAAAGTTAATTATGACTGGCCCTTTGAGGGCCACGATAAGGCTCGTGTAGCCTGGTAAAAACCAGCCTCTTGTCCTTCACTTTGCTTCGTACGAGGGTCTGGACTCTCGGTTATAGAGAAGCGATTCTTGCTGGAGGCGTGGCCTCTGCTGAAGTTTAAAATGATTGGATCRGATGGCTGCAACGTATGTGTGTGCCAGCTCCAAGATGAAGGAGGCTAGGCTAAGAAGCTAACCAGAAATCGTGCGCGCTGTAAACAACCCTAMTGAGAGGAGAGAAGTACYGAGCTGAACGASATGACTGTAAATGAGAGCTGCTGCTTTGTCAGACAAATTTAATTTAATTTGGAAACCTGATCAATACGGACTGACTTCATTCACTTCCTCCACTGCCATTGCTAAACTAGCATACACTGTGCAGAAAATCGACATTGTCGTTCAAAACTCCTCCTTCTGTTTGCTGATTGGCCCAGGTAAAATTCTACAGAAGAAATCCTCGTCTATGGGAGAAATCCAAGATGGAGCAGTGAAGGGAAACTGTAGGAAAACAAGGGCCAGGCTAATGCTTGTGTGGCCACTGGTGAAAATGAGTTTGACCACCATTAACAGCTGAAACAGAGAAGCATAAAATGTCAGAGATGCATCAGAACCCATTAATTCAGCAGGAATTTGTATTTAAAAACARATGCTTCTTATGGGGTGMCGTTTGTAAAGTTACACAGTCAAAAATTACCACCAATATTTTTGTTTTATTTAGCCTTTTATAAGAAAAAAAGAACAGATTTATTTTTCAAA